ACAGCTAGGGCTGGGACACGTTTCCTGTGTCGCCTGCTCAGCAGGAACCCTCCATCCACAATTCCTCCAACTCCCGCCACAAACACACTCGCTAGTTTTACTAGCTCTGGCTACGTTACACATTCTGCCCTGCTTCCACCATCACCACCTGCCTTGACTCTCTTTTCCTGTCCGCCTCCTCTCCCGACAGCAGCAGCACAGTGTGGAGAACATGGGGGGTGGCAAAGATGGGATGCACTGACTATGGGCATTGCAGCCAAACGGTGAGGGGGAAGAGGCAGGTTAGGGTGTGGGCTGGCACACAATGAAGCCAGTGGCAAGCTCTCATTTACTCCATTGGTGCAGGGGTAAAGAGCTTGGATCCTGCACCATTGAAGTGTCGCCACTGACTCCAAAAGGTGCAATCCTGCTCCAATTATCTCTTTGTGCTCTGGTTTCCCCATGAATAACATAGGAGTCATAGTGCGCTCCTGCCTCACCTTAGTGATGCCTGTTAAAATGCCGTGGAGGCCCTGTTGAAAGGTGCTGCATGGTCCTGCTGCAGAGTGGGACTCTTGTTAGGGGAAATTTCTCTTGGCCCACCAGCAATCCCTCCATTTTATTACTTACCTGTTGTTTTCTCAGTTTAGGCTGCAGGCTCCCTCTGTGTATCCTGTAGTGCCTGAGTTCAATAACTACGGGAAAAGCATACCAGGGTCGAGCTATCAGGCATCCTCAGCTGTGGGTGAGCAGCGAGGTGAAATTACCCTAGGAAGAGGCACTGAAATAGATCTGTTGGGTTTAATCATGCCATCTTAGCAGCTCCTTGTGTGGTTTTATGTTCACGTGAAATGCAGCAGCAATAAAACTGAATGTTGTGGGTTTGGTGAGTGATCACCTAGCCCCACCAGCTGAAGGCTCATGGACAGAGTGGTCAGTAATACCCCATGTTCAGTGGTAAATGATAATATTTCACACCCATATACAGTTTCATGTGTTCAAAGTCCCGTGCGAGCGTTTTACTACTTAAGCCGCACACCTTTTGGGGGCAAGCATCGTTCAACTCCTTTTATAGATGGAGAGAAACTGAGGCAGGGAGGTGAAATAACTTGCCCAAGGCCACACGGTAAATTGTTGTTAACAGTGGGATTAGAACATAGGCCTTTCTGACTACCAATCAGCATGCCTAGTCCACCCAGACACAAAGCAAATGTGATTGATGGAGCTAACTCTAGGAGTCTGGAGAACTGTCTGGGACCCATCACCCAAAGATCCTCTTTGACCCAGGCACATCATCCCCACTTGTAGGAAGGGGATTTAGCTGCAGGTTTTGAAGAGAGAGAATCCTGAACCGTTTCTGCCTGAAATGCTTGTACAGAAAGGAAAACGTCATTATACTTTATGGAGTTAGCCTGATAAGAAGAAGTGATTGGTTTCCTATTACCTCTCCCTTTATCTCCCTCATTTACATGTTGGCTCTAGCTAATCAATAGACCCGCAGGTGCTGAAAAGCTAAATTACTTATAAATAGTGCCTCTTCTTCACCTCCCCCAGGCTGTTTAGTGGGTGCTATAAATCAAACTTTCCAAGGCTGCTTCTCCTTGCTGTAGTCTTTCACTCTCCTTAGAAGATTCATACCACGCTCCTGCTGGGGAAATAGGCAAAGAGCAACATAGGAATAATAAAATTGATCAGAAAAAGCATGGATGAGATTGCTGTAAAACCAGCCCATCTGATTCATTTGATAGCTGGGCTCTAACCTGTTTGTTTACAAGCAAGCATGGTCTAGTGCAGTGGCTCTTAACCTTTACTACAGCCTGCGCCTCTTTAATTCTCAAAATATGTTCTCGCACCCCTTATCAAAAATCGTTGAAGTAGGTCAGTTCTTTAAACCTAGATACATTTGTTGTTTGTATATTACAGTAATCGTTAAAAAATGTATACAGGGGAGTCGCATCTTACGCGGGGGTTAGGTTCTGAAGTCAGCGCGTAAGGCGAAAATCGTGTATAGTCAAATGCTCATTGAGTGGAATGGCGGGCGGAATCGCCTGCACTACAGGTACAGTATTAAAATTGTTATTTTTCTCTTTTTTGTTTTGTTTTGCTGAGCGCGCATAGTTAAAATCGCGTAAGT